ATTCATGAACTTGTAGATTTTATATCAATGGCATTGGCCGTTTTTATACTAGAGACGCATTATGCGTCTGGACGAACTTGGGCAAGCATTTGTTGTTCGTCTGGTTATGCGTCCTTAGTATAAAGACGGGCACAAGACGCATTATGCGTCTAGACGAACTATGTTCGATTCTTCGTCTTAAGTGACGCACAACCGATGATAGTTCGTCAAGACGCATAATTCGTCTTGTGCCCGTCTTTATACTGAGGACGCATAACCAGACGAACAATAAATGTTGATAGTTCGTCGCATTGGCCGTTTTTATACTAGAGACGCATTATGCATCTGGACGCATAATCCGTCTTCTACATTATTCGTCTAATATTATTCGTTCCGTCTTTATACTAGACGAATAATGTAGAAGACGGATTATGCGTCCAGACACATAATGCGTCTCTAGTATAAAAACGGCCAATGTCTTGAGTTGGTGCTGCAATTGCAGTGCCAATAAATTAACGTTATAGTCTATAGATCATATGTCAATGCCTTCAGTTGGCGCTGCAATTGCAGTGCCAATTAATAGGTTATACTGTAGATCATATGTCAATGCCTTTACTTTTTGTTGGCGCTGCAATTGCTGTGCCAAATAAGTTGTAGATCATATGTCAATGCCTTTAGTTGGCGCTGCAATTGCAGTGCCAACAAGTTATAGATTATATCTAAATGCCTTGAGTTGGCGCTGCAATTGCAGTGCCAATATGTTGTATGTAGATTTTATGTCCATGCTTTCGAGATGGCGCTGCACGCAATATATTGCAGTGCCAAAATATAGATTTTATGTCAAAACTATTTTGTATATAAATGTCAGGATGATGTTAAAACGACCAATTTATATCGAATCTTGCAACACTTAATTTTTTGTGGCAAATTATTGTCTAAATTTGGCTTTTTAGCATTAACGAAACGAATTTTGTTCATTTGTTGACAATTTTTAGAATTTTGGTCAAATTTGGCATGAATTTTCTTAAATAGAATATTTCACTATGCTCTGGAACGTGTTTAAAAAAAAAGCATAATTGTCATTGCATGTAATTTCGATGAATACTATAAAATTATAATTGTTTATTTAAGAGGGTCCTGAAGGGGTAAAATGGAAATTGAGATTTGCTTATTTTTGGGTGGGAAAATAGGATTTCATGCACTGGGACTGGGATTCATCATTAAAAAAACAATAGAAAATGGGAATGGGATTAAGGTTTGAGCAGGACAGCTACAGAGATGATGGGATTTGTGCTCTGGGGGACAATGGGATTTAGTCAAAATTTGCGCTGGGAAATGGGAATACGACCCCTCCCCTTCAGGACGCTCATATAAATTAGCAAACAGTTTCACATTTATTACGATAGTAGCGATGTTTGTTTTAGCCATGTAACAAAATTAACTATAAGCATTCTGATCAGTTATTTAACAAAAATATCAAATTTGTGAATTTAATTCACAAACTTTTGAAATTTATTCTCAGCTATGGACTCACGAATATATTTTTTTCAAAGAAAAATATTGAAATTCGATTATTTATAAAATTGATATTTTTGTTAAATAACTGATCAAAATGCATATTGTTTATTTTGTTACGTGGCTAAAACAAACGTCGCTACTATCGTAAAAAATGTGAAAATGTTAGCTAATTTATATAAACAATGCGTGTAATTTTTTATAGTATTCATTGAAATTACATTAAAATTATACTTTTTCTTTTACTAACCCAGCATAGAAAATTACTATTTTTGTATTTATTTCACGTTAAGTAAATTCAATTCAAACTTCATAAATAACATTCTGATATGCCGGTCATCAATATTCGAATGTACATTTTTGTGTCGTATTTTGTTATGCCGTCGCCACAGAAAAATAGAACATATTGATAAAAAATTCTAGGCTTAGGGGAAAGGGAAACACGTGGAACGTTCTATTATACTTATAGTTTTTTAAATCAATCAACTAAATCAATCAACTGAATGAAGGAAAGAATAATCGGTCTTTCTGAATTCTGGTATATTTTTGAAATATACAAGTTCGTGACATTTATGAATCTGGTCAGACTGAATGAATGTGGCATAAGTAACATTCAAAAACAAAGCTCTCTCAGCGTGTCAGGAAAAGAATATTACGACTATATTTACAAAAAGGGTTTTACTAGCTGTTGTAGTTTCTTTCATCTGAGATATGTTAGTCAGAAAGAAATTATTTACTTTTAGCGCCTGTCAAGAAATATGTTAATTAGCTAAATTATGCAAAAATTATTGATTATATGGGCTCCAGAAAGTCTTAACTCGCGCCAAATGCAGATTGATACCCACAGGTTTTTCTTCAGATCTTCTGAAAATAAGTATAAATCATTATATACATAAGCGTAAATTTAGGTCCCCATTTGGAGATCTCAGGCTTCGATTTTAGTGTGATTTTGCAGACCGAACAAGAAGCAAAAACCGGTGTGCCGTCAAGTTGCAGTCGTTTATTCACGATTTGTTCAAATGCGCTTATTTTTTGGAACAGGGAACCTGAATTGTATCTTAACTTGTTGATCTAGTTGAAATTTGGAAATAGTCAGGCGTTTTGACTCAGCGCGGCTCTACAATTTACCGAAATTCAACCTTCGATTTTGCTTGAAAATAGCTCTGCACGGGTAAAATTAGTTTCGGCGTCTAGCGAAGCCATAAAAAAGAATTTTCAAAAAATAAAATTATTTTGGACACTTGTATACCAATGCCTTTCAACACACAAAAAAATAAAGGAAATCTATTTTCCGAAGTCAAAGTCATCGGACTGCTCTTACCGGGACTGCCATGCACTTAAAACACTCCAAGTCCGTGTTTTATCTGATATGAGACACCCAGCTGTTGCCTCGTGTTTCATTTCTGATAAGCACCCCTGTTCGTTTTAAATAGCACATATAATATTAATTCTGGAAATGGAGGTACGCTACAGTTTGAGGCGATAAAAATGTTTGCGTTAAGGTAACCTATAAATTAAACCAGGAAGGATTAATATCCTTTTCATCATACATACCATGGAAATGATCTGCTCCACTCGTTCAAACTTGGCCATGTTTTTCGTGTTTCTGGGCATCTTCATTAACGCAGCAAGGAATAAATATTGTCTTACAGTAACCTCTCCGTCATAACGCAACATGAACTGAGAAAGAAAGACGTTTTTTTTTTGTATAACTGTTGTGGATTTCGTCGTGTCCGGTACCATTCACATTTAGATGTTCCTTTATAAGAACGAAACAAGAAAATCTTGTAATAATGTTTGGCACAAAAAGCCTGCGCGTAACTTAAAAGCTGTCATCTTAGAAGAATGATATAGTTTCGGAGGTATTGCTAACTGCCTCCTCGCGAAATACTGATGGTCCGTATTGTAGATGGAAATTTCGAGTGAAAAATCCAAAAATCGAAATTTCAATTTACAAAAAAAGTTCCACATTTAGTTTTGAGATGCCAAATATCCTCGCATTCACCCTCCTAATTAAATACGATAGCCTGCCTTTTTCAATAAAGACATATTCCAGAAATCAGCAAATTTTAGAAAACTGCCCAGCAAAAAATGTAATCTGCAACGCGTAATCAAATTTTAACATACAGTACTAGAAAATACATGCATGCAGAAACCCTCGCCTTACCGACAAAACATTATGTTTTCTGAATATGAGGAATTGAAAGTAATTGTCATGAATAGTTTTAAAATTGAAAAATCTCCCAAAATATTATTTTTAGTAACAAAATTATCAATTTCTCAAACATATATAAGCTATACGTATGTTATTATACGTAATATAAGCTTCAATTTAATGTAAAATTCAACCACAAACGCTTCGCAAAACGTTTTAAAATGTTCGTACGACGTTGGCCTTTTATCGAATTGTCGGTAAACATTGAGTTTGAAATAAACTGATTTCAAATTCTTGCATGAAAATAACTTTGATTTCCTCTTTATTTATATACTTTAATATACAAGAAAAGAGTAATTAATAAAACTACACTGAAATTATAATTTATATGCTCTCTTTTTTCACTTATATACGCAATGATAGTATCAGTTCGATATTCACAGTATCGCCCACCATCATCAGTTATAAATATATCAATTATAAAACAAACAATACATCAATATTTAAAACAAACTTACCTTCATTAACGTCGGCGTCTTTGCTCTAGTCTTTTAGACGTACATTTTTCGACGTTTTTTGCCTCTCAGAAAGATTTTGAAATATAAAAAATCTCGCAAAAATACAACTTGCAAGAAATGTTTGTTATTCCGCTGTCGTCAATGCAGTCGTTATAAAAATTTCAAATTTGACCAATCAGTGTCCACTATTCACGACAGTCCGCTACATATTTTGAGATCAGTGAGGATGACCACCCATGAACGGTGAGCAATTAATACGCCTACGATATTTGATGAACTTTAGACTTTGCTAGTGCGTTCCTTTCTCCGGTGTAAATAGCCGGGCGGAATTAATACCCCCGCACGGCGCTTCGCGCCCTCGGCTCGGGGATAAAAGTATTTTGCTTTGGGTGTTAGCGCTAACATGCTCGAGCTCAATATGGCCAGCATTTAAATGGACATTGCACAGGGCCTCTTTTAAGAATTTGTCAGTGGAGGGGCCATCATGAGAAAGGGACCCAACTAGGAGGTGATGAACGGGAAAAGTGGGAACTAGTCTGGCCCAGAAAAAGTTTAAAGGCATTTTTAGACACAATTTTTGATATATTTCATCCGCTGGACAAAGATTTGGTGATGGAAATATTAAATACTTTTCTTAACTAAGCTATTCTTCCCTGGTTTGCTTATATTGTAGATAGAAGGGACCTTCGCTGGTTGGGGGGACAACATGGTTCACTTGAGGTGCCAAAACAGGTGCTGGGAGACAAGTACCCCCATGCAATCTATGGAATAAAAAGAGGCCCTGACATTGCACATTTATTTGTGAATTAAATAGATACATCTGGGCCTTCCACCATCTTTGCATCTATAGTTATTTCGAATCTCCAAATTACTCTTTTAATTGTGACCTTACCTGCTTACATTCACATGTCAACCTTCCACTCAAAAGCCTCAGTAATGCGGTTTTGCCTGATCTCAGTATTCCTATTATCGCGATGAATTCACCCTGTTTGAATCTCAACGTGACATTGTTCATCCCCAAAGTGCAAGAATGTTTGGTTCTTTCCGATGTCCAAGTCCCCATTTCCTGATCACAGCTGTGTGTTGGACTAAATGCCCCACTATTTTCATTGCGTTCCCGTCGCTCGACTTCTTCGGTAGAAAATTCCTTGCTTTCCATCTCATTACAGCCAGGATTATATCTCAATGCCATGCGTAGATATTGAATTGTTCGATAAAATATGTTGGTGTAACCATTGGTCGTTTCTTGGGAAGTTTCTTGGGTCAATGTTTGGACATTTGCACTGCATGGGGAATGGTTAGAAACGTCTGGCGACGAGTACAGCGGTATTATATCTTCGTCAAGTTGACAAGTGGACACCTGAAGAATTTAATGAATATCCTCACAACATAAGTGAAGAGAATTTTATGACATGTCTACATAAACTATAAGAGTCAGCCCAATTGGTGAAAGAACAAACTATAACTATGTTTAACCGAATTCCGAAGCTTTCAGAGCAATGTTGCTGATCATTGAAATTTTTGCGTACGTCACACCCCTAGCAACGACGTGTTTCCAAGGAATAAAGGAATAGTTTTCAACACATTTAAAATGCAAGCTGCAAGCTCAACTGCAATTGGTTGTACATTAATTTGTCCTGATAACCACGGACTGGTTATAGAATTTTGATGTACTGCGCCAGTCAACAATCAAGACTACTCCAAGACACAAATGCAATCGTAATAATAATAATAATAATATTTAACATTTCTATTGCGCGATTTTACATATGTATATGATCAAGTGCGCATTACAATTACAGCCGAAACTGACGTGAAGCAGACCGAGGTAGATTGTGGGCTTACAAATGGCGCTTTAAGCAGCCACTATTAGTCCCTACCTCATTAATGATCTGCCCCCTAAATTGGCTACATATAGCAATAAGACCCCCCTGCCGTCGTTGCTAGGAGCGTAATGTACGTGAAAACTTCAATGATTAGCATATTTTACCAATTGATCATACAAAACTCAGTATTGCAAAATGGTCAAACAACAACGAGAACTCGAAAAGCTCGCGAATGAACCGGAAATGGCCTAATTAATTCTACTATTAACTGTCAACATCATGTGTGGCGTTGTATGTCTTCAGTATGTATTTATCTTTTTACGCGGCAAAACAGCAAGTCGAACTTCCTCACAACAATTCCCTTGAAAAAGTCGACACAGCTTCCAATGGCTTACATCATTAACTCACTAAAGAGTTAATAGTTAATTAAGTAAATAGTTAATATACTTTACCTGTGGTGATTCAACATGCTCGTCAAGATATCGCTTACGAGGTCGTGCAAGAGAACTAACTGGACCTTAAAATAAATCTTCATTGCAACGCATACACAACTGATTACTAGGGACACAACCAGAACAACGCCGTTGAGCACTTCTCCCCAATCCACAGCGGTGTCCACAAGTTTTAGTGACTCTGGGCAAGTGGGGTTGCACATTGCTCCAAGACAGCTGTCAGTGACTCTGATGGGTTGATCACGTTTCTTTATCCATTTTACAAGAGTGGAGTGTAAGCTAATGGTTTCGTTTTCACGTCTTATTGCTATATGCAGCCAATTTCCGGGCTTTTTGGATGTGCTGAAGAAAGATGTTTAGTTAAAAAATAGTTCTACAAGTATTTTTTGTTTTGTACCGGGTGGCGCAAAAAAAAGTTCACGCGTTTGATATAGTACAGCGTATAAGTGTTACGTTCCTCAAATAAATGTTATCCTATCCAGGAAGGCCTAACTTAAATTTTGATGTATAACACATGCATTTTTGTTTAGTATTACCCAAGATATTGGTAAATCAATTTGAATATGCAATTTCAAAACGTTCCAAAATTAGCTGAAAATAGCCTATTAAATACGAGTAAAGGAATTAACGATATATGAAGAACACAACGGCAGTAAATAACGCGTTTATCTTGGAAAATTAAATAACTATATTCTTGCACGTGTGACCATACTATCGAACGAATTAACGTTGGATTTATTTGCTGGTCAAAGTTATGGCAATCAGCAATAATCGCTTCACGAAGCTGTCTCAAATTGTTCGGTTATTGATCTAATTTAATTCCCTGTAGCTATGGGACATGGAATACTGCGAAGCAATTCTTAATTAAAAGAGCCATCTTTTTCGAAATTTTGTTGCTTTTCAAATGATAATAAAACAAATAAATAAATAAGGAAAATCATTCGTTGCACGTTTCAATTCAAATTAAATTCATACAAGCAAATATGTCTGACGAAATTCTAAAATTTATCAAAACAGTTTAATAGGCCATTTTTAGCCAATTTGTCAGATTTTCAAAACTTCCTTCCAAATTTTATTTGGCGATATCCCAGTCAATATTGCACGTAAATAAACATGCTATAGCTCAAAATTTAAGTTAGACTATTATGAATACAGCTACGTTTATTTTAGGGATGTAACCCTTATAGATTGTTCGCTGTACTAAATCAAACAGTTATACTTTTTTTTGCGCCACCCGGTATAAGGTACTGGTTAAAATAAAATCCAAGCATTGATGCAATGAGAATAATATTTGTGATAATTAATCGTGCTTACTGGGAGAAAATGGAGGCGGACGGAAGAAGGAAGAGAGGAAGAGAAGCACGGTAGAAAAGAAGGAAGAAAGTAAGGTAGAAAGGTAGAAACTAAAGACGACAAAAAGACAGATTGGATGGAAGGAATAGAATGAAGGTATGTAGGAAGAGAAAGAAGAAAGGGAGGTTGAAAGGAAGGAAAGATGGACGTCAAGTAGCAAAAAAGATACGTGGATAGGAAGGAATAGAAGTACCAGAGTTGGGAAGAGAAAGAAGGACTGTAAGAAGGAAGGAAAAGAAAGAAAGAAGGTAGGTAGGAAGGAAGGAAGGAAGAACATAAAATAGAAAGAAAGGTACATACAAAGGAAGAAATAGAAAGAAAGGTTACAGGAATAAAAAGAAGGCAGGCAAGAAGGAATAAAGAAAGGATGAAGGAAGGAAGGAGAGAAAGTAATGGATTAATAATTACCCAAACAAAGCATTTCCTTGAGTGAATACTTTGCTGTAGTGTAACATTTCTCCTTGATCTCTTAAACTTGACATGGAAAAAAAAGTGTGCTGAAAACAGGCGGGCACGAAATAACTTAGGTTTGAAAAACCGGGCTTAATCGCGAAAAGCGACTGATTCATGGCACCTCCATACGAATCAATCGCAGTTAACAAATCAGTGGCTCCGTTCTCCGCAACGGAAACTCTTTCAGACAAACGCGTGACAATGTTTCTGATAATATAAATATCATACATGCTAAACAAAAATATGGTTGGCACGTTTGAAGGGTAGTAACCTCGTGCTAGCATACATGATGCTGATAAACAGCATGGGTATCCGTACGTAGAATCAGCGCATGCGCGAGACAAAGGCTTGCCGGTAACATATAATTCTTCCAGAACCGCTGATGTTATGCTTTCTTGGAAATTTATAAACCATCCACCGTCAATAATCACTGAAATGCTAATATATAAACGCTTGGACGAGAAAAGGTCTTGTAACCATTGCACTAGATTGAAAACCCCAACTGCACCGGCGCTTGACCCGCTCAACACAACTTGACTTGCTTGGCTTAAACCCTTGTTGAGCAACTCAAAAATAACGCTTTCAAAAACGATTTTACCACTAAAAACAAATTCTTCTACAGGCCTATTGTTTTTAAAACTTGATGCTTTTGTTTGTGTTCCAAGTCAGGCGTCGCTGGTACAATATGGAATCAATACTCGAAAGTTGTCGTTGAATAACTCGTTCTCGTTCGGAGATGTCGAAAGTAAATCTCTTCCTCCAATAGTGTTTGGCATGTGTTTTGATGTCATCAGAACGTTGGAATAGTCGTTTCCAAATCTCTTAAGGCATTGAGTCTTTGTAAGACAGTACGCTCCGCTCTCCAAAAATATAATCCACTTTGAAGTCTTCTGGAGTCCTAAGTAATAAACCGCTCTAGAGCCATCGTTGCACAAAGCGCTCTTGTTGCGAAGTGTCTTCTTATACATCGTATTGGAATGAGAATCGCCAAGGCGAAATATTCCAAAAGATATAATGGTAACTGCTAAAATAACTCTTAAGGACATTACTATGAAGGAAATTTTTACAATTGTCAAAATTATCAAAAGAAAACAAAAACACGATTACAAAACACATGCTGAAGCGCTCACACTGGCCACATGTAACCCCCATTGAAGCCGATTATGTAATTAACTTTATGTTATAGCAAGAAATGGGTAGTTATCAAAAATGCTTAGCCGATAAACGTTTGCGACTCCAGAACGAAAATTATAACAACCTAGTTACACTGCAATTCTAAGCTATATATTGCAGTTAACATCACAGATTCGTCAAAGGGCGCGCGAAGAGTATGGCGTCGTATGTCAAGATGATATTTAACAGTTATTCTACGAACTCGAGTCGAATATGAGCTGCTAGTATACACCTACTAGTAGGCTATCATATATCGTGGCTTCTGACTGGCTACGCTACTAGTAGGCTATTAGTGATAGCCACTGAGCTGTATAATAACTGGAGGATCTGCTCCTATACTTCGTTCAGTCAACGAAGTGTCGCCAAAAAAATGGCGGATTTTGATGAAAAATGACACCATTTCCATGACTACTGGTCCCTAAAATCATGGTAATTGCCACTGAACAAGGCTCAAATATGAGTCCGCCGCAGTTTTTACCCCCCCCCCTGTTTTTTATAAAAATATTTCGGCTTTTTACAGTGAATCCTTGTTGTTTTGATATTTTCGACATATTTTTTCGACTGTTGACAATTTTTTCAAAGATCTGGAAGCCCTACACGTTAATTCTCGTCCGTGGAGCGTGAAAGACAACAAACAACTGTTAATACCTCGCAAAATGAGAGCAAAAACGATACTTCAAGCCAGAGCAAACATCCGTATTTATCAGACTATAAACAGGTATTTATAAATATTTCAAAATTCACATTACTATTTTAAATATTTCATGAAAAAATGTTAGGAATAAATGGTAGAATGTACTCTATTTTTTAGAAAATAAGCCACGAGTATTTATAATGTGGTTGTAGACGAGCCTTTTAACTTTAAAATATAATAATTTCATCCCTCAATCCCAAGGAATTAATGGTTGCACATGTATACATGAATTTGACAAATATTTGACATGAAACTATGATGTGCTAGCATACTAAAGAGGGAAGTAAGGTTTTATAGATTTAGGCAAGGCTGGGTCAAAGCTCAGCTGATCTGAGAATACATGTTTTGCCCAAGTTTGTATATTGTGTGCTCTCTGATAGTTTGTTGTATGTATCTTTAAAAGGCCAGTATTGGGTTAATTGACTCAAGTGCTACTGCTGGCATATTTCTTGTGTCCCTGAGGTAAGGGCTGTTAATACGACAGCTAGGCCTGCAGTAAGCAATATCTCACCGTGTGGTTATTTTTATAGTGGAAATTCCTTTCAAATTGTATGGACAACCTCACTGGCTCAGTTTTCAGATCTCACCAGAACAAGTGTCTTGGCAAAATAAAGTCAAAGCAACATTGGTCATGAAAATATTGTCAAAACAATGGAATTGTGTCGGCGAAGAAATAATAAATTACTCTGCCAACAGGCCAGTCTAGCTGGCCGGCTTCCATATTGATAGCCCATATGGCTATAATATATTCTTAGCCTCCTCTGCAGGCCTCTGTATGGGTTTTCAGTCGTGTAACTTTACTTTTTTGACTACTTGCCCTCAGGGCAAGTTGGACATGAAAATTAGTTGCCATGAATAAAATTTAGCCACTGGGGTACCTAGGTAGGAGGTTAAATTTAGGGGACAACATGTCGACCCATTCTATATGGCTATATGTTATACTGCCTCAGATCTAAAAGTTTGGCCCACAAAAAACAAAATTTGAATCAAGTGCATGCACTATAAAAAATAATCCGACAATGAAAACATAAACTTAAAGATGCCCAGCTTTTTGTGGCAAAGCGACTTGCTCAATCGGGCAAGCAAGATAAAACGTTTACTGGCCCGTCATGATATTCACTTGCCCTGGGCAAGTGTTAAGTTAAACCTCTGGTTTTAGCCTGCAAATGGGTTCCCACCACCTGATTCCTCGGGTGAGATGCCTGCGGTGAAGGCTAGAGTTCATGCCACTGTTGTTAGTGAAACTCCATACAAGAAACATGTATTGCAATGTTTCAAAATTATAATTATAAAGACAAAAAATTTGCTTGATTTTGTATATTATTTATTTTAATTAAACTTTTGCTAATTTTATAATTATTTTTTGACCATGCAGTGAATAATTTTAAAACTTAACTGTACCATCAAGTTACATGTAATACAGTTACTGTATTATTAAAACTAGAGCTCATGGGTTTTTTTTGCTGTTTGTAGTACATATAACATCCCCACAAAATTATAGAGAAAAGTCATTCAGTTAGTTCTGCCAGTTAGGTCTGGCAAGATCTACTGTAGTGCACCACTACTCTTGCTATTTGAACAATAATCGAAATAACTTGTATTATTAATTCCTTAATTGTCCACAAGACTTACATCAGATTCAGCCTAAATGAGAAATGTCCATTATACATATAGAATAGTGACAGTACCATATGAAGACACTGAAGATGTATTCAGATCCCAGACTCCGATTACAGGGAAATATTTACTGTAGAGCAGAGCCCAAACTATTCAGTTAGACATTATTGATATGTTAACCTATTGAGCACCAGTGGCTCGATCTCCAGTTTACAAGTAAAATTGTCTGGTGTTAGACCGAGTAAAAATTATAATAAAGTAGGGTGCATTAGGGCACAATGCAACCTAGAGTATTGTTTAATTAATATGGTATGTCAAACAAATTGACTCACTCAGTAATTTTTACATTACAATATATCAAAAATAATCTATGCAGATCTAAGAGAGAAAGTTCATAAATAATATCTAACTGAACAGTTGGGCTCTACTCCAATACTGGGAACACCCCCACTGAAGATGCTCTCAAACATGTTATCAATCATCAATTTGATTGGTTACTGTAATTAATTGCCAGCTGAGGGCACAATTTTGGTCAATGCCATGGGCAGTGAATATGCATCGGCTAGCTGGCACGTACAGTATACACACCCTTCATTCCTACATTTACCTAACTGCAACTCTAATGGCTGTGCGATTTACATGGAACTTTGACAAACTATGTTGGGCAGATGAATACCATGTAAACCTCCGAATACTTGTATTCATTCATTACTATTTTTGATGGGCTGAGCTGTTGAAATCTCTTTGCTGCACTAAAAAATACCTGTCCAAAAATATAAAGTCCATTTACTAACACCTCTGTGTTAGAGCAGGGCGTTTATAAGATAGGGCGGCGAAACGAGCATAGTAGCCCTGATATATCTGTGATGCAAGGGACCCTCCAAATATTCGAACACAATGCGAGTAAAAATGGCGGAAGCTCAAGCTGAAATGGAAGAGGAAGATTTTGATTTAATTCTTAGTTTATACGATGCCGAAAAGGATGATAAAACATCCCCTGTTATTCGACAGTCGACTGATGCTTTCACTATCAATGAAGTGATCGCAGTTCTCGAGAGGATTTCTTCCAGCATGATAAAATCCAAAGCTGAAATAGCACAACAATATTGCGAAACACGCGCGGGAAAAAAGATTTTGCCACCTTGGATTGCTTTGTGTCTGTATTTGTCGAGGCTTTTAATCAGTGCAATGGTTCGGTGAAGAAGTTTAAAAGCGAAAGCGTACGGGCTATTGAGTTGGAGGACAAGTTTGCCACTCTGAGAAATGACAAAGTGTGACCAATCTATTTGATGATTGGAAACGGCTTGCAGGAGATGCCCATAGTTGAGACCTCTGTTGTGGTGAAATGAAGGGTGTTTTTATCACTGTTAAACTGCTTGGACCACTTACTATTTAATTTGAGCATAATGGCCTTTTCAAACATTTGGTTAACATAGTTTAATATGTCATATTCTTCGTTTAGGCAGCATTCTGCTTTGTTTAATATCTAGAGGCTCTGTTGCATGCAGTGAGACTTCAATTGATGTAGCAATGAATTCATTGTTGTCACATCAAGTTGTTCCCTTTGTAAGACTGGAGTGAGTAGGTGATTGGATTGTTCTAGGAAACATCTCACATTATTCTGGTAGAAGACCCATCTGCATGTGCCTTCTGTTTTTCCAAAACCCTTCACTTTGTTTGTGTAAACTCGATGAAAATAGTTTTGAATACTGTGACTACTGTATTTCACACCAATAATTTGAATTGGTAAATTATATCAATTATTGCATCATATTTACCAGGTGCATAGTTTTTTATGAAGGGTGCCACTGGAAACACAAGGGTCCTAGAATAGAGTATTATAAAATAACATGTATATAACATGTGCTCTGATTGGTCGAAACCTGTGTTTGGATTAGGCCATCCAAACACGAAAACTATAAAGTAATTGTATAGTAGCTCCTCTTCACGCAATGGAGAGTTGTTAAATTAACAAACTGTACAGGGGGTGGTTGGAACGAGATTACCTTTAGAGTTATCTGACACTGAAGGGGGAAATGGTGCTGTAAATCGATTGTTTTGTGTGCATGTGTCACTTAAGTTAGCAGGTGTAGAACAAGGGCCGTAGCTAGCATGTATAGTTGGAGGGGGGGGGGAGGGTGTAGGGGAAGACATACGCGCAAGACATAGACGCACAGACATATTACAGAAGCATTGCCGTAGGAAGCTCTCTTTGATTGGGAGCTCTCTTTGATTGGGGAGGGGGGCTGAAAACGAGGGCTGGAGGCCCGAGGAAATTTTTAAATTTAGAGTCTCTGAAATGCCATTTCCTGGACTTTGGGGGAAGTTTTGACAGAATTCTGATGGTCAGAAAACAGCGTTTTAATATGTCGAAATTTACAGTTTGCTTACAATTTAGTAGTACCAAACGGCCGAAGACGTATTTAATTAACTATACTGTATATTGGAGAAGTTGCAGAAAAGTATGGGTAATATGATTTTTTTCAGTTTATCATAGATAATGTAGCCGCTTAAATTAATCAATTGTCAGTATTTTAAAGGTATATTATTTAAATGATAAAG